AACACGTGATATAACGAAAATATTCAATGCAATTTACAACAGTCGTGATCAGCAGTCGTGGACAGAACCTCGTGTGAAAACTGCGGACATTTAAATTTCACATCCTGCCAGACTTAGTGCCACATCTAAGCAGTGGCTTCATAGGACGAATGTCACCCGGTACGGTAACAGAGTGTTCTGCATTTCCGATTTGGTGACACAATCCTGCCCAATTGTTTTAAAGTGTAACATATAAAACGAAATTTTGAAAATAAATAATACTATTTTTCGATTTGGTGTCACCTTCTCAATACTATAACTGACATCTATACAGTCACATATATTGAACCAAGCTTAAAATTTGCAAGAGCTCATCTAAATCCTTTGCGGATGAAGAAGACACAAATTTATAATTTATAAATCTAATATATAAAGTTCAAATCTGAGGCGGGCGGGCGGGCGTGCAAACCGACGATTCCAAAGTTTAAAGTGCTCATCGTCTAAATTCATAATTTAAAAAAAATAATATTGAAGGTGTTGTAAAACAATTTTCATTTTTCAAACTTATGGTTATAATTATTGGCATGTTCATCAAACAAAATTTTTCACAAAATATTTAACTCTTTACATTTATTTTCTTAGCACTCCTTACGTCCGTTGATAAATTAGGAAACACAATTACTTCCCTTTATTAAAAAACCATAACATCGGGAGGAAAAAAATAACCTTTTATTGCTTTATTACTAATTATTGTGGATTTATCAAATAAAAGTGGTAGGTATTTTAAATTCTGCCTTTTATTTATTTTATACACTGAACGTACTGTTTTCTTTGTATTATTTTTAATTCGGGAACTTGAATTCCCGCAGGTTATTATTTGTGTATTTTTTGCGCATGAAGGTCAATTCGTTTTTGTCAGTCTTTCTTTTTCTTTTGCGCACGAAGGGGCATTCGTTTTTGTCTGTCGCACTAAACATGATAAACGTCGATCGTCTCTTTTTTAACCTTACCATTTTTAAGCAGACTTTACAACAATACATTTAGCAGTGTAAAGTTTTACTACATTCTCGATTTTATGACAAGATCGAAAAAAAAAATTCTTTTAAGAGCAATGTTTAGGTTTTATAGCTTCAAAGTTCCCATCAATGACGTTGTTTTGCACCGCAAATATTTTTTTTTAAATCAATAGCAGTTAAAAAGCCAGCTCCTAAATGCCCTCTATGACGTCAATCCGCTTGCGGATAAGCTTGGGGTATTGTAATTGTTCACAAAATTGAAACAGGCGCGTCCGCCGTCGCTCTTGCAGGATTCGATTCAGCGCCCTAGGCGAGCTTATGAGCGTTATGGTGCATAATTTCGTTATAAACAGTGGGATAGACTATGGATAGGAAACATTACTATATTCTTTAAGTGAATCGAATCCGGGCGTTCTCCAGCGCCCCGACATGGTGCTATTTGGCGCACCTGGTCTTCCCGTGTTCGCTGTGACGCCTACGTTCCAGAGTGCAAAGGACTGAATAAGTTGGGGTACTATAGTCGTTTACTAAGTTGAAGCAGGCTGTTTCACCGGTGCCCCAGCATTGTAGGATTTGGAACCCTGTTTATGTTTGCGTTTGTGTTTTCTTTGTGTTTGAGTTGCGTTTGCGTTTGTGGTTGGGTTTGCGTTTGCATTTGGTTTGTGGTTGTATTTGTGGTTGTGTTTGTGGTTTTGTTTGTATTTGTGTTTGCGTTTGTGTTATGTTTGCGTTTTTTCGTGTGTTTTGGTTTTGGTTGGTTGTAGTTAGAGTGGGCAATGGCGGGTATATGCTGATTACTAACACGCTTGTCATGGTCCTTTACAGATTGGTTTTTCACAGAGGCCAGTGCAGGGCCTGGTCGGGACGGCTTGTAAAATATAATTTCGTCTAATATTTGTCTCGTGAGTTTGCAGATGCTCCCTTTGGGGTTTCATTTACCGAAGCGACTCGCAACGTAAGTTATTTCTGAAAGAAACTGTTTAAACTGAAATTATTTACTTTACAAATCGATATTCAATTTATAGCCGCGTTACTCCCAATCCCCACATAATCACAAGCTGAATAATATCATAGGGCTAGGGCTAGGGCAAGGGCTAGGACAAGGGCTAGGGCTAGGGCTAGGGCTAGGGCTAGGGCTAGGGCTAGGGCTAGGGCTAGGGCTAGGGCTAGGGCTAGGGCTAGGGCTGGGGCTAGGGCTAGGGCTAGGGCTAGGGCTAGGGCTAGGGCTAGGGCTGGGGCTGGGGCTGGGGCTAGGGCTAGGGCTAGGGCTAGGGCTAGGGCTAGGGCTAGGGCTAGGGCTAGGGCTAGGGCTAGGGCTAGGGCTAGGGCTAGGGCTAGGGCTAGGGCTAGGGCTAGGGCTAGGGCTAGGGCTAGGGCTAGGGCTAGGGCTAGGGCTAGGGCTAGGGCTTAAATTTGGGTTAGGATTATGGACTGGAATAGGAATAGGGTTTGTTCAGCGTATGTTCGCTTAAATACCCGATTATAGTAGTACTAGTGTTACAATTTATAACACGTTTAGCGGCGTCAGTTTTGAAAAAAAATGTATATCAAATTCGCCAACAGTTCTTGGGGTTTATTACACGATGTTGGGTTTTTTTAGTCTTATAATAAGCGCATATTTTAACAGGACATATTGATTTAGATTTTAAAGTGTTATATATAGTTTATACCAAACATAAGTATTAGAGAAAACTACAATAATCTTAAATATAAAATGTAACGTTAATGCTAAAGTATTAATTTTCACTGAAATAAAAAAAATTTTATTAGCTGTGTCTAAGTGATTAATTAATTTAATTATATCGTCTTTAGCGAGATAAAGCAAATACTATTTTAGAGACGATGAAATATTGTGTAGGCCTACTCAGTGCCCTTTACAGTACTTGTTGTGAAAAAAATTTCTTCAGGTCGGGTTTATTTTTTTCTAACTGACGACGAAAACAAGTCAATCACTTTTTTCCTAATAAAATGTCTAGACCTAGTCGTTTTTGAATTTGACGTGTAACTCAACTCTTGATGGTTGAAGATGTAAACAGCTAAATGTCACTATAAACGTCAAACTTGATCGGGTTTTGCGACGATCGACTTACATATAGTTTGGTATAGTTAATAATACGCTGTGCAATAGCCACGGTATTTGTTTAAAATGAACTCTAAGCATAGACTCCATTGTTATAAATAATGTATTTTGGTACTTTTATGACAGTAGATTATCTTAAACTATGTAAATGAGAGAGAAAACTGGGGCGGGGGGGAGGCTGATGTAGTTACCTCTTATTTTTATTGTTAAATTTTTAAATCCACTCTGCGAAGCTTGCTGTTTTCTGTCTAGGAAAGCTAATTATTCTTTTTTTCAAAATACAAATGTAGGTACAAATATTCAAGATACATAATGATCAAAATAGTGTTTGATGTTGAGATTGGGTTTCGCGTTACTGAATCCTATTTAGTCTGTTAGCATTAACTACATTTAGAATTTTTTTCATCAACCTAGCTTTTTACGGTAGTCAAGTTATCGTGTTTACAGACATACAAACACACATACAAACATACACGCACAGACATACGGACAGAATTACTAGGCGTAGAACGCCAACATCTGTATTTATAAGTTTTGCCCGATGAAAATAATGTACCCAATACTCGGTACAAGATGAAGTACTGAGGTATAAAACGATGAAAATTGTCCAAATTACATGTGATTTTTGTGCACGATTACAATACTACTTCTATACTCTGTATACTATAACGTAGTTATAGAAAAAAACGTTATATCATCAAAGCTGTAGCCTAAAGCTAATACTGCATAAAAACGTATTGTTTTATTGTGTTGTTGAAGGGCTGGATTTTAAATTGAGAATCAAGTTTCTCCGACAGATCAAACAGACATAAAAATAATGGCTTATGCGTAGTTATCGCTTGTATTCTTGAATTTGATAATTGAAAATAGTGTTGGAACAAAATAAAAACAAAAAAGTAGTTATAAAATTAAGGCTATAGCCTAAAGATAATAATGGATTGTAATGCAAGTGACAAAAATTAATACATCGGACAGTCATCTTATTTTTAAATCGAATCCCGGACTCATAACCACAGTTCAAGGTTCAAGATTCAATTTGTTTACTCTTTTACTCGATATATATATATATATATATATATATATATATATATATATATATATATATATATATATATATATATATATACTTTAACCAGTGTCACCAGTAGATTTTTCAAAGTGCGCACTTCCTCCCATTTCCCTTTCAGAAATTATACGCTTTATTAACCCTCTATCCAGTTTATAAAATAAGATGGCCAGATTAAATGTCCTGTAAAGAAATCTAATTGGTAGATATATTAAATGCCGCATTCGGGCACGCTCTGAGAAGGGAAGGGAACAGCATAGCGAGGAAAGCGTTGGACAATAAACCCCCAGGAAAAAAGAAATTTACGCCAATCAAAGCAACCATGGAAAAGGATAGTCGAAGGAAAATCGATGACTGCAGAGCTTACGATGGCTCAAGTGTAGATAGTTTTGGTGAAGAGGTGAAGCTTCTGTCTTTTACTCCTTTAGGACTTCAAAGTAATGTCAAAAAGACAGGACATTAAAACTACTGCTGTTTGTAAACAAACTCTGGACTGCTCAAGTCACTTAACGTCTCCTTGACTGTAAAAATGTAAGATCATCCCTTGACGTGACACAACCTAGAGTCTTACAACATGACGCGAACACATTTACAAACACACACATACACACACACAAACACAGACACACACACAAACACACGGAAACAAGCGCAGAGATGCCTACTTACAGAACAAATATTTCAGTATGCATTTAACAATCTGCGTCATTTTTTAAGAACAATCGCATGCAAACTTCCGATACGCATCTATATTGTATGTTAATGGGTGCAAAAAGAAATCAAGGGAACACAATAATGGACATGCTTTACTTTATTCAATTTTTTTTTAATATGAAGATAATTCTTCTGAGAAGGTTGTTTGACAATCTTCAATAGTGCGCAGTGTTTTGTTGCTTTCTTGTTTTCCCCAACTCTTTTTTTTCTGTAGTAAAATAAAATTGTATATACGCACAGTACATATTTCTCGAAACCTATATAAAACAGGGTAACAATTTCGAAAGTTGTTACTTTCAAAATAATATATTTCATATAAGGCATTCGTTTTAAAAATATATATATGTTAATATTATGATAGATAATATCTGAGCCAATAACATTTACATTTTTAAACACAATATATGGTAACAATGAGCCAGATAAAACTGCAGGCAAAAACACTCACATTTTGCGCAGTCAAGAAAGAGAAACTGATCAATCGGCACATTTAGGTCAACAAGAGCTCCAGTCGCGTAGGTGAGTATACAAATGAAGCCGGCGAGGAAAGTATAGGAAAAACAATGAGCATCGTCACGACAAGTGTTGACACACGTCTGAAAGAGAATATCAAAACATGACTTCGAACATTTAGCGTCACAAACAACAAAAAAACTTGAGTAATGCTAAACGTTGATGAAAAGAACTTCCAAAGTCCACTTGAGAATGAAGAAAGCGGAGCTAGGTTATGCACATTAACATAAACATTAACATGCATTCAACGAACACATTTTGAACTGAAACAAATAGCGCTAGCATAAAAAAAACTGTGTGCGAATATAATAGGTGATTGATTTAAGATAAGTAAAATTAATGTATGAAGCCACAAATTGTATATAAAAATCAATTATTCTAAAAATTAATTTGAAATTGAATGGTTAGATATTATATTGTTTCTTGTCCATGCACCGTTTTCTACTCTCGTCCTTCCAAATCACATTAATAAACAATAAGATTTATATGGAAATTTAAATTCATCGAACACATTAGCAGTACCTCCAGATCCGTTGCAGGGAGTCCTCTATAACCGGCATCGTTATATACAGTACACTGAGCTAAATTGGAAAAAAACAATGGTTATGTTTTCAACACGTAGACAGCAAAATTAGACTTTATGTTATATATTATTTCGATTATTTGCACAATTCCAATACTTCCTCTATACTTCGTAGACGAGAAAGTAAAATGAAGAAAGTTCTAGAGAAATAAATAAATGCACGAATATGCTAAGCAAGTCGGATGTTTTTATAAGCTTTATTTAACTAACTTCCGCTGTCTGCCATCATATATCCAAACGAGAGAGCGAAATTTCAGGCACTCCTAACTGACAGATTCGTTTAAAAGTTGGCAATATGACATTAAATTTGACATAATTGGATGCCTAATTAATTTATCATGAGTAAATTAACATTTCCTGAAATTGGTAAGCAGTCCTATATTACACTTTCTGCACTATCATATATATATATATATATATATATATATATATATATATATATATATATATATATATATATATATATACATATATATATATATATATATATATATATATATACATATATATGCGTTTCTATTTAGATTACTATAAAGAAATGCTTGGGTCTCTTCATAAATATTTGTTAAGATATCAATAGATAATATAGATACCATAGAGAACCACGCTTTATTTAAAGTAATTTTAACAATAGTTAATTATTAAATATTTAAATGAAATAATTTATTTTCTACTTTTTAGTGCATTATTACATAGAAGCTTGTTATTAAAATGTTTTTGCAAACACATGTAAGCAAATTGTGAACAACAACGTTGTGTTACAAGGCAAAATAGAACGTTATTAAGATCGTAAACACTTATTGGAACTTAGCCTATTTTTTTTTAGGAAATGTCTATTATGTTTACATTGTTACGAAAAGTTATAGTCCGTAGCGTCACACCACGTCACCTTACATTTTTCACATCAAACTTGATTACTTTACAATGGTAGCATCAAGATAGAGGCGTAGCGAGGGGGGGGGGAGGGGCGGGGGGTGCGGACCGCACCGGGTGACACCATTTAGAGGGGGTGACACCAAGGCAAAAAAATAGCAAAATATATACAGAAAAATTTGAGGGGGGGGGGATGCAAATCGAAATCGAAAGTTTGAGGGGGGGGGGGGTGGAAAACGAAAGTTTGAGGGGGGTGTAAATCGAAAGTTTGAGGGGGGTGCAAATCGAAAATTTGTCGCTACGCCTCTGGGGGGGGGGGGTGACACCATTAAGTGCCGCTCCGGGTGACATCCGATCTCGCTACTCCACTGTATCAAGATTCTATTTGTTTGTGTATGTTGTTACATTATGTTTAACAAAAATAAAAAGCAATTAACACGCCGAAAAACTTACTAGTTTCATTGTAGCATGTTAAAGAGGAAGCCGATGTTTCACTTATACTAACATTTACAACATCACCGGTAAAGAGCCTCGTTGAACATTCACCATTGAAAAACTTGAAAGAATAGCATCGTTCAGCCCTACAAGTTGCGTAGCATTCCTGTGGCAATATAAAGCGAACTAACATTAATTGAGTTAATATTTTTTTCCAGACACACACATTTATTTATTTATACCTAAACATGTATAATATTAAATCACCATACCTATTTGAAGATAAAGTATGTGTGTATTAATATTTAGATATTTAAAGTAAGCTAGCATTTACGTAAAATGGGTATCGTAAATGTTATTTTTATAGCAACAGAAAATTTAGAGAAAGCAAGCGCTGTATAATTTTTAAATAATTATCCACTCTACTGATAAACTCGCTTATAGGATATACTCTCGTCTATTTGTACATTTTTTTAAAAAATCGTAATTATTTTACAGGATTTTAGATAAGAAGTGTGCTTGTATGGGAGCTTCAACAACGTCAATGAACAATTAAATAAGTTTAACACATTGCAAGGCCCTTTGCTCAATCCATTGGACAAAGAGAAAAATAGACCTAATAAAAATTTGCGGTACTCGAAGAGAAAGCAAGAAGATTGAATACACCTGATGACAGTTGGATTGACAGACATGCGGAATTCATTGGCGACGGTTGGAAAAACTGGCCCAGAAAATATGGGTCGGAAAAGCTCTTGTCCACGGTCTTTTACCCAGTAGAGTTGATAAGCGAATCTAGCTTAACCAACTGGTCTCGATGATAACACATTTGATTACGTATCTCAGCGATTCTTTCAGGCATCTGTTCTCCCCTTACCCCAAAAAAAGTCTACCACCCCCCACCACTTTTAACTTTGTCCGCCTTACCCTCCCCCCACCCCCCAAAAATTTTAATTGCCCCCCCCCCCTCCCATACCGGAAGAAAACAGTCTGGAACAAAACACTTATCTCAGACAGTGCTAGATTTTTGGAATCTATGTAAACTTTCAAATGTATTCGGATAAGTAAAGATATTGATTATAATGTAAATTTGGATTTTGACAAATATTGAAGTGTGGATGTAAGTATGTATTTATATTACCTGGGCTGATGTAGACGGTCGCGTTTCCGTTATTGCACTTGCTAAAGGAACACACAGTGCTAAAAATAAATTAACACTAGTTTTAGTTAAATTATAATAGTAATAGCAGGAAACATTTTTTTTTTGTTGCAAGACATTTTGTTTATGTAATGTAACTATAAATACATGTGACATCCAGGTAGTTACAAAGAGGCGATAGAAGGAAAAGCCATTCAAAGTTTCTTGATAAAACGTTTTGGTATTGTTTGATCGAAGGATTGGACAAAGTTGCGCATTTTCGACATAACGCCTTTAGGTGTTCTGTACTTAAATATTTTTTGTAAAGTTCATGGTTGCTGAACCGAAGACTCCCAAGTTACAACCGTTGGCATATAGCTGGGACAGCAACCCATTGTGTATAGAAAACTTCGGAGTCAACTGCCTATACAGCGCTTAAAAAGTTGATCAGAAATCTTTAATCGTTTTTTGAGAAAATACCTTCTAACATAAAAATAAAGAACGAAGAAATAGACTTGTTATAAATATACTTTTTTTTGTTTCAAAGATGTAAAGATGTATGCGAGAATGATACTATATATATATAAATGACGGTCAACTTTAAAGGCAATAAACGCTGTATTGTTTTCTAATAATGACCTACCATCACACATTGTTGGGTCCGTGCTGTTTACGGCAAATCCAGGTTTACATGAACAAGTGAAGCTTCCGTCTGTGTTGATGCAAATCTGTTGACATGGGCTTGGCTCAGCGTTGCATTCATTGATATCTAGAAGTTAGGTTTGCAAACTAAAATACATCATTCAGAAAACGTAACCATGTGTTTCGGATCAAGTAAACAATATATTTTTTTTAAATTTTAAAATAAAATCACACAAATACGTCTTAGTTCAAAAACAAAAACAGTATGTGTGCTTTTTTTAAAAAAAAAAACATTACCTAACACATACTGTTTTTGTTTTTGAACTAAGACGTATTTGTGTGATTTTATTTTGTTCACAAGAAATCATTTAATCACGAAATCGGGCAATATACTATACAATGGGAACCAAAACTAATCCAACACAATTGGTGTAACATTTCACATTTTAGATATTGTGTGATTTACAAATTCGTTTAATACGAGTTCGATACTAATTATAAATGTTAGTAAAGTTAAAAGACAAACAATGATGTGCTGTGTTCTATCGCTCAATCTAGCAAAACCTTAAGTTTGGTATGACTGCCTTAAAAACTATCTCCACGATTCAGTGTCACACAATATCATACATTAATTTCTTCTTCTTCAATCTGGTGTTGGTAGTGTTTCCCTCCAACACAATCCAGTATGACGTGTCAACTTGCTACTAGCCGAATTGGCCGCCGTTGACTCCCATTACAAACTTTTTTCGGATTCACTACAATTAGCTTTGTTCAACCAAAAAATAGCTAGTAGGCTGCAGCTGTTTTATCTTTGCAAAATGTCTGTTTTTCGCATTTTTCCGTTGCGGATCTTTCTGGGAATCGTTTAGTGACCTAGGCGTATGAAATTATAATTTGGTCCGCATGACTCCCTGCAGCCTTTACTTTCCCTAACGTGAGTCGGTATCCCATCAGAGTTGAATGACTAAGTAACATCGTATAAACTTGCCCCCGATTGATTAACTAACCAATTAAAATGCACCTACATTCTTACCTAGACATTGAGCAGGGTTTGTGGGGTTGACGACATACCCTGGCCTGCATGAGCACACATTGCGTCCTCTCACCATCCTTGTAATCTGTTGGCAGGGACACTTGGCTGAAGTAGAATTATGTCTAAATGTATATTTGTAGGTACTGTAGCTTTAGACTAATTCATAAAAGCACCTTCTCTGAAGAAAGTGTGTTCAAATGACTTCTTGCCAAAATTGTTGTAAGTCTGGAATACCAATTATATAACGTTTTATAGCCCAGTAGCTGAAAAAAAACCGTCCAGAAATATTTTTTTTTCCAAAATAAAAAAAAATCATTTAGCTACAGTAAAACCACGCTAACCATTTTCAACCTAAATTGGAATATTACGAATATCATAAAGTTAGGAAGGAAGAGAGTGGCCTAGAAGTAGCGAGCTATTCTACTAAATCCGCGTTCGAGTCAGCAGACATTTTTAATACCGCTAGTAAATAACGTTAAATTAGTAATATTTTTTCAGCTTTATTTATAATTTCAGATTTGTTTTTCTCCGTGAGTTAATGAATATAATGTACTCACCGTGTACGTATGCAACACAGAAGAGCAGTGCAACAGCGAGGTTTATTTTTGTATTAGCAACCTTCATCTTGTTACAATGAATAATGTGATATAAATATATCTGAGAATGAATGAATAATAAGTGATAATAAACGTAATAAACATAGTGCAGGTGAAATAATATTGACAAATGTATTAAATACTTTTACTAGAATTTAAGAAGTAAGCCACGTTTTTCTTTTTAGTTTTTACTAATTTATTATTATATATCAAAAGAAAATCATTTATTTTCTCCTTCATAGTATATTTAATTCACAAAAGCATTAATATGGATTTTAAAAATAATTAAATAAATTTAAAAAACAAATGGCAAATAGACAGACAGACAAAAGAACGAAGAAGCAAGTTAAAAAAAACAACTTGTAAATAAAGAGGACGCAGACAGTGTTTATTTTTTTTAAAGGTGAAATTTAGTGTGTTTTGTTGCGAATTTATATAGCTGGAGGAGAAATGACATGGTTCAGTATATTTTTTAATATCAATTATAATTATATTTTTCTAAATTCGTTCGAGGGCGCATTGATGGGAGGAATGGAGGAGCGGATGTGCTTTAAAGAATAAGTGGCCGAATGGTGTTATTGTTTCCTGTTTTCAAGTCAAATGAGTAGTATCCAAACTTTTTCAACAGTTAAAAATTCTTCAGTAACATAACAGTATTTTAATTAGAACTATTGCTATTACCGTTTTCCTTTAAACCCTCATAATGATGATGTAAACCGCTGCACTTTTTAAGTGCATTTTAATAACTATAGGACGATTGAATGACGTTCGTATTAATTTTCCAATACTTTTGTAAGTTCAAAATATGAAAGTAAAATGTGTTTAAAATGGTAACATAAGACACTACATTAGGAAATAAACGACACAAACCTTTTGAAATGTCGGCAATAGTACCGCTCCAATTCGACTTAATTCACAGCCTATCAGTTAACTTAAACCAATCTTGATTAAATTTAAAAAAAAATAAACTTTCAAATTATTACATTCGATTCTTCAATATTTTTAAAATTCGAATAAGTAGTTTTAATGCTAGCTCATTATTTAATTTTCATTATCTCATTCACTTCTTTGAACATAAAATATGAATTTTATAAAAATTATATTTATCTATATATATAATTCTCTTCTTCGAGCCGTTAGAAAACAAGCTGCAAACGCTCTCCCTACCTCCCCACCCCTACATGGTTTTAGTGAGCTGTGTTCACTCTAAATGTTTACAAGCAGAGCCAACGATTTTAAACGTAGGGGGGGGGGAGGGTGGGGGGGAAGGAAGGGGGGGGGGGTTATGGTCCTTAACGAGCTACTTATAGTGTTTTAAAGAAATATTTTCAGTGTCAGCGTTGGTACTGTCGAATTCACAAATTATGAATTATTGAAAATTAGAAACAACTAAATAGCGGCGTATGTTATGCCGCGGGCCGGCTCGTATTTTATAATAAGAGTCAATCAACGAGCAAAAGTCTAAAGGGAAATAAACTCACCACAGCCAATCAGCAGACTAGTTACAAACAGCAAGGTTCATCCAAAAGTGAAGCATCTTTGCTGATGTATACAATATATATTGACTCCTTATCCAATCCAATCACTTGATGAAAACAAATTAGCTGGCAATAAACTTACATAGGTGACGCCACTTGTTAAAATATATTTTTAAATAAAAAGAGCATTGCGCATTTATATTGCACAACTTTAAAAAAAAACAGGGAGTGATCTTCCCTAAGCTTTCCTGAATATTCTAATATAACACTACGGGGGATGGCAACTCGGGACATAGACAATATTTTAAATCCATTTTTATTAATTAAACTTTTTAAAATAGCATAGAATCTCGTACAAAAAAGAATTGCATACAAAGTCAACGTCAAATAATATGTGTATAATAGTGCGGAATATTATTAGTACTTTATAAATTCACATGCGTTTTTTAAGAAATCAGAAATAGCGAAAACTACTACTTCCAGTCAAAGGAAGTTACTCAAAATTTGAGAGAAGGCAGAGAATTAGATCTTTAACTTATATGTGAAATTTTATTTTTTCTATCTGAAAAAGTACTCAATTTATACGCTTTTGAAAAAACGGAAAGTAGAAAAAGTATCGGTTATCAAAAGTTGATAGGGATCTTCAAAATTGATATAATACTTAAATATGAAATTTCATCAACCTAACTGTAACGGTCTGTAAACAGCCACACACACACACACACACACACACATACACACACAGAGACATACGGACAAGATTGCAAAACTATGTTTTTCCGACTCAGGGAGGTGTAAAACGTCGTGATTTGCAAAAATCTCGATTTTTATTTTTTTTGCACGATTACAATACTCTCTTTATACTTTATATACGAGAAAGTAAAAACAATGTAATGCGTCATTACATAATGTGCACCCCTTTACGGACTGTTGAGAAAAACTGAGCAAACACCTATTGTCAAAGTAATACAAAAGCTAGCATGGGGATGATTTGGGCACACCTGCGTACACTAACAAGCAGCATCATCATACAATCACTAGCCTCGAGTCCCCAAATATAGAGGAAAATAGGTAGCAAAAAAACATAAAGATCATCTGTCAGTGAAGCCGAAGCACTCGTGGGCCCAACTTCGAGAAATCGCCCAGAACCCAGCACAATGGAGAGGTGTTGTTGTGTCCCTAATGTCTACAAGTGGTCCCCATGAGTGTCGGTGATGATGATGATCCCTTTACATAGTACAAAGTATAAACGCCTATGTGAGCAAGTAATGATACAGCACACACCAGGTGAACGCATCGCCCTTCAATCAACGTATCATATTACGACGTTTGTGATGAATCGCGCAATCGACAATTTCGTTCGTGTCTACACACCTAGGCTGCTGAAGCCCCAAGTGCGCATATCCTTACAATATTTATATATTTTATGTCGTGTTTGATCCCGTAGAAGAAATAATTGCGCACAAAATGACAATCAACAAATGTGTGTGTATAATAGTGCGAAAACTGGTAGGCATATATTTTGATTTTTTTTTAAATTAACTAATCATATAATTAATTAATATTTTGTCACCATAATTTGTCTTCGAGTCTTGACCTACGTGATGTTTTGAAATTAATCGTTCCAGTAAAAGTGTTCAATAATTTGCTTGGAACAATTTGACAGAACACAGAGAATGAGATATTGTACTTGTTTTGTAACCATTCTGTGGTTGTTTGTTTTATGTGTTGTGAGATACACTTGATTTCCCTTAACGGCGTTTCAGTTTACTCACAACATATAATTGAATGCGCTGCGGGGATAAAAAATTCCGTGACTGTCGCGGATCAACTTCTTTTGACAACTGAGGACATTTAAAATTTGCTTCAAGCCGGTGTAGTGGTCAGTCCGGGCTGTGATTATCACTGCAGTATGTGGTGATTTACGTTATTTTTACTTTCTCATATACAGAGTATAAGGGAAGTATTGTAATTTTGCACAAAAATCACATGACATTTTGCGTTTTCATTGTTTTACACCTCAGTACGCCATTATATACGGAGTATAGGGGACTTATTTTAATCGTTCAAAAATAATAAATGCAGATTTATCAACATTTCAGCGTTCTATGCGTAATCGAGTCGGAAAAACTGGGCTTTGCAATTCTGTTCGTATGTCTGTATGTGTGTATGTGTGTCTGTGTGTGTCTGATAACACCGTTACAGTTAGGTTGATGAAATCTCATTTGTGGTTCTGTGTCAAATTTTCAGCGAATTTTCGGTAAACGGTAGTGTAACTGATTCTACTTTTGGTTTTTCAAAAGCCTATACATTGAGTACTGTTTCAGATAGATATTTCATGTATAAATAAAATATATAGTTTTCTGCCGAATGTCAAATTTTGAGTATTTTCCGTTCACTGGAAGTAGTAATTTACGCTATTTCTGAATTCTCAAAAACAACCTTTACCTTAAATTTAGGTTTAGTAGGTATCATAAAAAGAGATACACATCATTTGTAATCTTTTTAGTTTTAACACAGATCCTACAGGTATGTTGCATTTATGCAATGTTATCATATTTAATATTTTTAAAAGTTTTGTACATTAATTGTATACTACTTAATTTCCACAGATGGCCAACAGTTAACTCTGGGACATTCAATTGGATTATCTCTCTTTACGTGTGTCTGTATTGTCATAGTTACCTACTGCTGTATGAAAAAGAAAATTAGTAGTAACAAAATGTATGTATGTCTATAAAACACTGTACATGACACTACATTGCCACATAATTTAAGTAATTTGCTTGTCTTGTTTTAAGATACAGATGAACTCTTCTTCAAGTAGACTCCAAATCAAAAACCTGCTGTTTAATAGTTTGTGCTTGGTTGGATAAAGACTGGAGGAAAAGCAGGCTGAAATCGGAGTCAACGGCTTAAAAGTGCCTCAGAAGCGTAGCACCACATTCCAGCGCCCGTGGCGAACTATCGATTCTGCGACACCGCGCCTTCCCCATTTATAT